AATGAATTAAAGGTCAAATCACAAAAAAACTGGAAGACAATGGAAGATCTCTTTTACAACCATAATGAATAATAAAATACTTACCTAGAGATATGATTAAAAAAGGTAGGTAAAATGAATAATTTTGATTACATAATATTGAGAAGTTTCTGCACAAATATCCAAGCCATAGATTCAATACTTATATACCATGGTGTACTGAAGAAGGGTTTATCTGGCTCTCAAAAAATGTGCTCCTGACAGTTTAAAGTTTAATGTGCACTATTAACATTTTCTCCATCACTGTAAGTCTAGAAATCATCAAAACAATAAATGGATTGCCAATTTGTAGCATGTTAATTTCTGAGGTGAAAATAACACTGAAAATAAATAATCTCTTTTCAGCTGCTTCCTTCTCCTATGATTGGAGAGTATCAATATCCGAGAACTCCTCCCTGACCTTTCACATAAGGTGGGGGCTGAGGATAGACAGTGGAATTCACCACTTTCCCCCTCCCTTACTCTCCACCTCCTTTACAGCTTCTTTTTATATGTTGCCTTCTCCTATTAGATTGTGAGCTCTCTGCAGACAGGGACTGCCTTTTGCTCTTCCTTGTATCCCCAGCACTTAGCACAGTGTCTGACTCATACTAGGTAGATACTTAATGTTTACTGACTGACTGATCATCTCTCAATAGCTGATCAAAGTGGGTCAAACGAGATGAACAGGTAGTTCACAAATGAAGAAATGTAAGCTATCAACAACTACAGGGAAAGTATAATCCAAGTCATTGGTAATAAGAAAAAATGAAAATCAAACAACTCTGAGATTCAACATCACATCCATCATTTTGGCAATGAAGAAAATAACCATTGCTGTAGGGATTATGAGACCACAGGCAATCTAATGCACTATTGGTGATATGAACTAGCTCAACCATTTTCTTCTAAGAAAAAAAAAAGAGAACTATAATCCCCAAGTCCTCTGACCTAGTGATAGTACCATTATGTAATTCTGGGAGTTCAAGGACAGAGGGAAAGCGCTTCTTTATATGAGAATACTTATAATAGCACTTTTTCCTTGGCAAAGAACTAGAAACAAAACAGTCAGCTATGAACTGGGGAATGGCTGACCAAATTGTATATAAATTCAATGTAATTTTGTTGTGTCATAAGAAAAAGGAATATGACATATTCAGAGAAGTGCACAAAGATGTGTATGAACTGATGCAGAGTGAGGTGAACAAGAACCAGGAGAACAAATTTATGATGGTCATGACATGAGGGGAAAAACTGTGAAAGACTTCAGAATTTTGAAGCTACAACCATTTATGACTTCCAAACACAGATGATGAATTGGATCTTCCACTTTTTGGTAGAAAGGTAACAGACTGGAGGAATACAACCAGACGTGCATTCTCAGACATGGCCAATATCTTTATTTGCTTTGCTGCACTGCACATATTTGGCATAAAGGATAACTTCTACTTGGGGGGAGTTGAGTTGGTGGGGAGTGACAGAGCATTCCAAAGACATTCTGAAAGTTGCAGAGTGGAAAGGGAAAAAAATAGATCAATTTGTGACTGCCTAGTTCAATTTATATTTATTTTTCAAAAAATCTATTGGTAAAACGTGGAAATTTCTTAATGACTTCATTGCTTCTTTAATAATGGAACCTCCTGCCTAGCAGCTGCTCCCATTCAACTTGGACAGTTCTTTCTGGTAAATAAAATTTCTTTGCTCCTCCTTATTGGCATAATGTTATCCAAGCCTTCTCCAACTTTCCTCCCAGCAATCTCTGCTTGGTGCCTTTATGGCATGTGTTTTCAGCACATAACATTCTGGGCAATGGGGTATTTTTCTATGGCCAGTTGTAACACAAAACACACACAACCTCCTGGAAGAGGCACTGCTTGTGTGAGAATATTTTATATTCTTCTGGAAGAGGCATTGCTGCTGAATCCTGGGTATGTACTGCTAAACCAAATGGAAGAAACCTAGGAGACCTACAAAGGTTCTTTCTCCTTTTAAGGGAGCTTAGGCCTAGTGGTCTTCTAAAGACTCCTTTATTGTATAAAAGAAAGAAATAACGCTAATGGTAAAAAACAAAGGTCATGTAAGAGAGAAAAAATGCTTTGGTAAGTCAACATTTGAGATATTTTGGCAAGTGGAACCCTTAACTCATAACCTTTAAGTGGCTAGCCAAAAGAAGGAAATTTTAGGGCTAATTAGGTTGTCAACAATCTTGATTTGATGATATGGGGACATCCTGTTATTAGAAAACACTGACAAAATAATGTCCTGGAACATGCTCTTTCTTTGGTTTATCGATGCAAATACTTTGGCCGTGTTTCGTGTACATCAACTCTCAGTACTCTGTAAATAATTCCATTTTGAATGTTAAGTATCTAACATGAAGGCCTTGTGGCACTTCCTTTAATCTTCTACTAAGGGAACCGGATACTTGCCAGTCATCTCTCTGAAGGAAGCTGTGCTTGATAGTACATTTTCAAATCAGTCTTTATTTCATGCTACTTAAGTGTTTCAGGTTTTTATTTTAATATCTTGCTAGTTTACATTAATGGCAACATACAGGTAATTTAAAATAACATACATGATATTGACATATTTATACTTCTTAGAAATGCTGGAATGTATTTACAGACATACAAATATATGACAGCGTTTTAAAAATTCCTTTACTAATTACACGTTTACAACATTTTTGAAATGATCAAATGAAAATGCTTTATTAAGCTCTTTCATTGTAATATTTATATAAAAAAAGTTTTCAAATGTCCACATTTTCCTTCATTCCTATATCTGTTTTAAAAGTCCATTTTTTATAAAACCATTAGAATTCATCTGGATAAGCACACATCACCAGATACCGTGGAGCTTCTAAAATAACAGAGATGATGAGTTATTTAATTAGTTGTGCTTTTTAAAAATAATAAGCCATAAGGGAAATGATAAACATTTTCCCACTTCCTCTGATTATAAAAGCCCTTTCTAAGTCAGATTAAAGAACAGGCACCAAAATGCTGCAATAGGAAAGAAAACATGATTGGTTCTTGCTTTTGTGTATGTTTTTTTTGGCAATTGGGGGTTAGTGACTTGCCCAGGGTCACACAGCTAGTAAGTGTCAACTGTTTGGTCTGAGGTCATATTTGAACTCAGGTCCTCCTGACTCCAAGGCTGGAGCTCTATCCACTGCGCCACCTAGCTGCCCCTGGTTCTTGTTTTTGACACAGAAAAAATACAATTCAAAACACAGGTGACATTTTTCTTTTCGTGACTGCAGCCAAAAAAATTGCAGGGAGCCAGAAAAATTCCTACCCCGACTCAAAATGCAATGAAAAGCTGCTGCAAGTTCATGTATGTTTTATATTAAGTACATGGATAGCTGAGACATTGTTTTAGGTACCTCTTTTTACCCAGCATATAAAGCTGGGAAGTACCACCCCTTCATTTTATAAATGAAGATGCTCATCTTACAGAAGAGCAGTGAAGTGAATTCTCAAAAACCACAAAGGTAGAAGGCAGGAGAGCCAGAATTTGAACCCAGATCCTTAAATGACAAACAGTGCTACTTCTACTATACTAGGCTACTCCTTAATGTGAGTTAAGTGGGTATGGGGACAGGGATTGGTCACACAGAGTTTTAGGTGCCAGTGTCTGCATTTGGATATATTTTTATTTAAATATTGTAGACCGCTTTATCTCTGGCTGTGGGAGTTTGTCAATAAACAAACAAAATTCACACAAGCATAAATCTTAAGTTCTAAGTCATACAGTTGGTGAGTTTGTGAGGACTCTCGAAAATGATGGGGTCTGGCTTCCACTACACTTGCTCCACTGCGATGGTTCATCCTTGAGAACCAGCCACCTGCACTACTGCCCCTATCCCCACCTGCATTAGGTGTAGCTCTGAGCTCAGAATCAGACTCCACTGTATCCCAGAACACATCAATAGTTGTTCCGTTTCAAACTTGGTCTAAATGACCACACTGTTAAGCTTCAGATTTCTATGCTAGAATAAGAGGGGTTTTATTTTGCTAGAAGTTCACAGGATTTGGAACTGGAAGGGATCCAATTCTTACACTTTGCAGACAGGGCTGCTGAGGTTCAGGGAGAGGAGCTGACCTGTCTAAGTCACAGGCGGGAGTAGCCTGGCTGGGACTCAAGCCCAGGTTTTCTGATCACTGGCATGCTCGGGTGATCAGACTGTGACACATTGTCAAGAAGAGTTTCATGCGTGAGAAATGGCATAAAGACGCTCCCTAGGAAATGAGGGATGGCAGATGGGCAGGGTGGCTCTGGAAGAAAAGACCACGTCTAGTGCAGTGGCTGGGCCCTCGAGGAGGATTCAGGGAAATACACAGCTAAGAATCGTGCAGGATGAGAACACAGGCACTCGCTCTAAAGAGGACTCTGTCACTGAAATGAAGTCTCACACTGAAGTCCACATACTGGCACCCATGAATCTAGACGACTGGCTCCTTATCCCTTCCAGACCCTATTAATTTGGTTTACAGAGGCAGCTAATGCTGAGAGATCTAACTTATGAGAGAACTGGCAACGAGGTTAATAGTAAAAGTAGCAAATGGGTCAGGCTTAAGTCACTGGCTGAGGATCCTTTGAATGGTTTCTTCCGCAGTGACAGACTTCAAAACAAGGTGATATCTTTAGGACAGGTGAGCAGGCTCATTGAATATTAGTGCTAGAAGAAAACAGATGTTATCTAGTCCAACTCCTTCCTTTTACAGATGAAGAAACTGAGACCCAGGGAGGTGAGTGTTTTGGCCATGGCCACAAGGCCGGTGGAAGAACTGAGACTCAAACCCAGGCCTTCAGGTCCAGTGATCTTTCTATGTAGCATGCTGTTTCTCAGTAGATTTCCCACCTTTCTAAGATGCCTATGATTAAATTCAATTATGGAAATTAGCACAGGCTTAGACCTAAAAGGAACTGAAGATTGTCTTTACTTATCTGCTTGTTTTTCAAGGCATTCTGTTAGCTTGAAGACTCAGAGAGTGTTTGCCTTGTATTCTCTCATCTAGTGCTATGGTAACTGTAATGAAGAGGTGATGGCTCTGAAAGAAAATGGGAATGGGAATGATGGTGTAGTGATCTTTCTTTCTTAAGCCTCAAGAATTGAGAACCTTCTTGCAAAGATCTATCTGGCTGCTCAGAAAAAAAAGATCAAAGACTCCAGCCAATGGAACCTTTTCCTACAAAGTCTGGACACAAATGGAACTGAGAGAAGACAGAGGTGGGCAAACCTGGGACATCGGGCTTAGGAGCAGATAAAATCTACCCTCTGTATCATATTATATACAGATTCTTTGGAAAAGACTCATCTATGGTACACCTATGATGAATGACACTGTACTAGTTTTGTTTTGGCTTTGATATGACATAACATGTCTTTTAGTTTAACTGATTCTTATGTGTGACCAGAAAATGATGGAACATTATTTCAGAAAGTCAATACTTAATTCTTTTTGTAGGACTTACGGAAGAGGATAAGAAGGTATCATGATTGTGTCTTAATGGGATCAAACTGTGTTCCTTTGAGGAAATTCTATTGGGTATCTTAAAGTAACCCATTGTACAATAAAACACGTGATATTAAAGCTGAATAGTCAGTCTGGGCCGGTAATTCTAGTTCAACAATAATCCTCCCACAGGACCAAATAAAGTGTACTTTAAGGGAGGCCAGAGTATTCCTTAAAACCAAATGGCATGATCTCCCCTAAAATGGAGAAATGAAGCAAAACATTCCTGTCAGGAATTCTGGAAATATTCCCTTCTAAGAAAACACACCCATACACACTTTCAAAAAACCAGATGCCTGGCAGTGGTAGTCACATCACCTCTCTCTTCTGCTTGGCCAAGACAAACCCTCAAGGTCCTGGTAGTCTTTATACAGCAGACAACTGGTGCTGCTGTTGCTTGGGTGGGGCAAGTTCAAGGAGGGCCTGGACGGTCACTGCTACCTGGGTCAAACCTTTTTCTTCTAAAATATGGAGAGGCAAACATAATCGCTCCTGAAAGGGGATAACATAACAGAAAAAAAATGAAAGAAAAGAAAATGGAATGAACACCACAGTTTAAAAAACAAAACAAAACAACCCTGCCCACTTACCAACTGAAAGATGAAATGTTAAGACATGAGAAAATCAACTAAAATACACAAAATCAAATGCATGGATTGTATCTCACGATTAATTATTCATGATAATTTATTCTAATAAATTAAGAGGGATAACTATACAGGCTGAATATATATCCACCATTACATATTAGTATGTTCCAATGACAGTCATTTTATTAATCAACAAAATTCAATTCAAAGAGAACATCTGGAAGGGACTGAAAATGGACAAGTGGCATATACTTCATTTTTCTAAGAGGAATATTACATAGCAAGAGTGGAGGACAGTTGGAATGGAAGAAACAATTTTTTTTATGACAAAGATCCAAATATAAGAGTAGACATCTGAAGTAGAAAAACTTTAAACTCTCTGACAATTTGCTAAGACCTGGAAGAGATCACTGAATCAAACATCTAGACTAAACCTCCTCATTTTACAGATGAGGAAACTGAGGCCTAGAGAGACTAAGTGACTTGCCCAAAGTCACACAGGTAGTAATCATCAGAGGCAGAGAGTAAACTCAGATCTTCTAGCTCCTACCACTGCACCACACTGTCTCTTAATGCACTACAAGGGAATGCTTTGGAAATTATATGTCAGTTACACCAGAGATGCTCACACAAAAATTCTGACAAACCAGGGAGCAATAAGCACGAGGTAGACTGTCATCTGCATATTTGGAAACTTGGGTTTTACTACTTTGAGAGAGACTATAAGAAAAGAAGGAAGTAGAGTTTGAGCTTTTGGGCTTTAGACTTATTCATATAAGGTAAATTCTCCTTAAGTGAGATTAATAGGGAGATGGGGTGGGGGGGCCAAGACATCAAGCTGAATTAGGGAAAAATTTGAATTACAGAAGTTTTTTGTTATTGTTTTAAGTGTATTTTTGTAGGGTTTAAGTGTGTATATAGTAATTAGAACTAAATTAACAAAACAATATCTCATAAGGGACATAACAAATTTCTGAAAATAATTAGAGGTTAATAGGTCAATGGTTTGTCTGCACATGTGTACTTGTAGAGGGTTTAAGGGCTTTAAACACCTTGTTCAGTCCTGCTTCCAAAATACATGCGATTAGTGAGCTCTTTCCCTATGAACTCAAAGTGGAAACTTCCCCTGGTACTTACAGGCCTGCTCTCACAAATTAGGAGAATCCTAATGAACAAAGTTTAACTATATGCCCAAACTGCTTGGGCAAGAAATGGGGTATACACAACACTAAAAGAACACAAGGAAGCTATCTGGATCCACTGACAATTTAAGTGCATTTATAAATGAAAAAAGATGATTTTCCTGTGCATTCATTTGCTTAATTTTCACAGGCACTCATTTCTCAGGGTTATTAATAAGACATTTTGCAAAAACTGTATTTAGTAAACAGTTATAATTAAAAATATAACATTTTCTTTCATGGCAGTTATTAATATTTATGCCATTTAATTATGTTTCTGATTTAGTAGGCTTTTTCTTGTTTGGCAAAATAAGATACCTAATATTTGGTAGTGTTGTTAAACTAGAATATTTGTATATATCTATAAGTGAATGAATTAAAATCTAGAATGAGTTTCTCTACACTGTTTTCTTCTCAGATCAGACAGTTTTCCTAAGTAGGAAGGCAGTGTTCTCAATAGAGACCACTAAACTGGGGGTCCCTCTCCTGTACAACAGCTCAGTGCAATCAGTTTAGACTTATATGTTTAGATGATGCACCTTTTATTTCCAATGCCCTTAGGGTCATAACTACATACAAAATGCAATAAAAACAAATGCTGTTTTATAATTATGGTTAAGGGGTTTTGCTTGTTTTTAAAGGAGAAAAACTGCTAGAATGATCACTGTCTCAATCATCCATCATCATAAGCAATAAAACACTGTTAAAAATAGGAAGGAAGGCACCAGTCTTCAATATTTACATTAGTACCCTAAGTAGCTGAGTACATTTCTGTGGTTGGTTGTCAACAGTGCAAACAGAGCTCTAATGACAAATTCCTTCATCCAATAACTGTCCTATCTAATAAGGAGGAAAGCTGAAGCAGACAGACACTCAGGCTGAATGTCGGATCTCAAACAAGAATGCCAAGTATCCCCAAAACAACTATCTTCTCTTCACTGAAATATTTTCTCCCCCTCCTTCTTCCATGGTCTAAGTTTAAATAAAAGAGCTCACGAGAATGACTGAAGTAAATGTTCAGGAATGCATTCTATGATGACTATAATCTAAGCTTAGTTATGAGGTAGTGCGCTCTAATATTCTCATCAGCAGGGCTTGAAGAGCAAATGCTCAACATTTCTGAAGGATGAATTCAAATTCCCTGCTTCCCACCCAAAGCAGAGGCTGCTGCCTAAAAGGAACAGAACTTCTGTGTCATTCTCCTCTATACTAAGGATGCCCAATGGGATAACATCTGCCTCACATGATACTTACAAAGACCTCTAATGTTTTTCACAAATGTCATAGGTTCCTGTCTGTATTCCAAGGAGGCAAAAATAGATCTTGGTCCAGGATAATGAACAGAGCAAGTCTGGATCAGCAAAAAGTCCAGACACTTTTACTTTCTTAAGCCCAATGCAGAAGGAAAAAAGGTCAGTTAAATTACTTTGCTTATTGCCTCCCATTTTGAATTTATATTATGGGCTTAAAATGGTGGTATATATAGAAGGCTTATATATAGGGGAAAAATACATATACTTTGCCAACACTAAATCTCATTGCTTGCTAGATAGAGAGACAACAAACAGCATGTGTATCTATGGATACAAACAGAGGAAGAGTCCCAATTTTTAGGTGTAGAAACAGCAAAGCAGTTTTGTTGACGTGAGTCAGGTGGCAACTAGAAACCAGCCACACATAACTTAAGAAATGGTGTCACTACTTTTCTGGTGGTTAGTACACTATTACAAAGTAAGGCTGGGTATTTTGCAAGGAAGAAACATTTTATTGCCATGGGTTACATGGGTGTCCTGTAAAAATGTTGGTCCCTGTCTTTTGGAAGTTAAGATCTATGTAAGTCTTTTAGTCTAAAAACAGGCTAAGGATTTATATCATGAAGTGTCTACAGCACTTTTAATAACAAGGAAAATGGGGTCAGGAGAACGGAGATATTCACTATAAAGTTATTCTCTAATTCCTATTCAGCAAATATGAATGTGGCAGACACTTATTGGAAGACTTTTTTTCAGCTGGAGTGAAAAACCCAGTTGTAGAACATACACAGAGAGAGCATTAAAGTACAGTAAAATGCCACAAAGCCCAGAAGCTGGGCAGATAAGGAGATAAAAGAGGATTCTTCTGAATGTGCCCCAAGAGAAAGAAGTGTTTCAACAGTCCTTTTAACGCTGAGGTTTAGCTGAAGGATGTCTGAAGGGGAACAAAGATTGTCCTGTCCAAAGTGTGAGCAGGAAAGGAAAACAGACAGAAAAACAAAGTCAGTGGATCAGAAGTACAGACTTTAGTACAGAATTATATCATGAAACCATATCAGTTATACTTCAAAACATACACATAATACCAGATTTCTTTTTATAATTGCAAGTAAATGAAAAGATTTTAAAAATAAGCATTTAAAAAATCCCTGTAATTACCCAGGCCTGATTCTACTAGTGAGTAGAGTAAAAATGGCTTGCTCCAGACTTACAGGATATGAAGAATATAATTTGCAAAGGTGTATGCTATCTTTTTATGCTAAATGAAGTTAATGTCTGTTAGGGGCTACAGGAGGCTGTGGCAAGCCTTCCTTGGTTCCCCCCACCCCCACTACAAGAAATGGTTTCTGGAAGGAATTAACAAATAGATGGGGCAGTAAGCAAGGTGTGCTAGAACAGGAAAAATCAAAGCCCTAAAGAACAGAACAACGAGTATGAGACAATAAGGAAATCAAGAGATCTGGAGATCAAATAATAAGTGACATTTATATAGTGCTTTGAGATGCAGCATGGAGTAGCAGATATTAATCAGTAAACATTTATCAAGCACCTACTATATGCCAGGCACTGTGTTAAGTGCTGGGGATACAAAAAGACGCAAGTTCCTATCTTCAAGAAGCTTATACTCTAATGGGGGGGGGAGAGAAATGTGCAACATGCAAACAAATATCTACAAAGTAAGCTACATACAGGATAAACAGGAAATAATTAACTGAGGGAAATCAGTAGAATTAAGAGGAGTTGGGAAAGGCTTCCTGTAAAAGATGGAATTTTATCTGGGACTTAGAGGAAGCCAAGGAGGTCAGCAGTTGGAGCAGAGGGCAAGTGTTACAGGGATGGAGGGCAGCCAGAGAAGGTATCTGGAGATGAGACAGAGTATTTTGTTCACAGAATAGATAGGATCAGTTAAGTTAGAGAATGAGCCTCGAGCCTCGGTATCACAAAGACTTACGTTCAAGTTTGGGCTCTGATACCTACCGGGCGTGCAACTCTAGGCAAGTCACTTAACCTCTCAGTCCTCTGGGAAACTTTCTAGAACTATAAACTGCAGGACACTTGCTGATGTGTTTTAGTAGAGGGAGTTTCCTCACTGAGATTTCTGTACACCCATGAAATTATAGTTCTACCTTCCCTTTACCCCAACACATACAGTGTTTGCAAAGCACTTTATATGCACTCTATAATTTGAACTTCATAATAATCATGTGATGTAGGTAGTAAAGACAGATATTATTATCCCCATCAGAGGCGGTATCTGAACTCAGGTTGTACTTAGTTCAATATCCTATCTAGTATGCTATGTTGCGTCATCAAAGTATTACATAACCCATGGTATAAACACCTCTCATTTACGTAGTTTACTAAATGCTTGTCCTGAAAGAACCAGTAGCACGTGGCCAGAAAATCAACTCACTCACTGGGAGCATCAGGCCCGTTATAACTAAAACCTGCTCACTCATTAGAGCTGGAAAGGTATCTACATGACACTTAAAGTCACAGGATGATAGGTGAAACCCATTTTTCTTACAGATGAAGAATTTAATAAATTAATTAAATCAAATTAAAAGAATAATATTAAAGGGATGAAAATGACAAATTTTCTTGGGAGTTAACAACTGATTCAAACCTTTTGATATAGGATATATCCATATATGTTATATATGAATATATACACATAGATACATATATATCTACATACACATATACAAATACACCAACTTGAGAGCTTTATATATTAAACCAAATGGAAGTTTACTTTCTATTCAAGTCAAATAGAAGCAGAAATGGGAACAAGTAAAAACAGATATATTATTTAGTATGACAAGACTTCTTATTATCATAAGATTCAAGATCTTTATATTTCAGAAAGACCAACCAATGAAAGCTACAGAGAACAGGGGAATATACAGACATAAATGATGACGCATTTTTAGAGAATTACAAACAAATCATTTACCAGTTTGAAATATAAGTATTTTGAAAAATAGGTCCATACCTCTGCAGACCATGATCAGCCTTCCAACATCAACAATAGTAAATAGTTCTTTGGTGTTAAGGTAGAAAAGCTGAAGGGGCAGGTAAAGGAGCCAAGTTTTAAGGGGATCCAGAGCTCTGGGAAGTCTAATTTATTAAGTAGATGAGAGTTTTCATAATGGCTTATTCTGTTCTCTTTGAAAAGTTCTTCTTCTGAGTAAAAATTAGTAATAGAATAAGGCACCTACTTTTATCCCTTAGTAATAAACAGTTCATCTGAAGATGAGCACATAAGTTGAGATACAGAGGCTATGCAAATGACAAGTTCTCTTTTGTACTTTTTCCTCTGACTCAAACTGAGGGCAGTGGAGGTCAAGATGATGTCAAAGGAGTGGGATCCACCTTGCTCTCCTAGCTCATGGTACCTAATTGGGCAGATGTTAGAAACCAGGGTTCAGCTTAGGATACTGATAAGCTTGGCAAGAGCCATAATTTTATTTCCTTCAGTGTGCTCATACCAATTCAATTGACAAAGAATTCCTTTGAGTTTGTTTGGATGACTCTGAAATTCATTGAAAATGACTTGGGAAATCAGTCTTTTCAAGAGATAACTCATGAAACATCAACTTTGCCCAAGACCCAACTCCCATACTGATCCAGAAGGGTTTGTAGTTGGGAATCCTTGATCATTTAACGACATATATTTTGACAAATCATGGCTAACATTAAGCAAAGACACAATAAAACACTTCTAGAAGCATCTGGGGATACTCAGCTTTATCAGCATGTTTTTTCTTTACAAACTGTTCAGGGGTTGACAGCAGTAAGTATCTAACTGGGAAACTCAGTTCCTAACAAGCACTGATAATAACCCTTGGTAATCATTGTCAAAAACACCAGAAGACTAACTAACAGAAGAAGAAAGAAACATTTTTTAAGAAACATTATAAATACATTATAAAAAATAATTTTCTTAATGAAAGCTTTTCTAACAGAGAGATGCTATTAGGATACTGGGATGATTAAAGAGAGACTGCAGTTGTAAAAGCAGTATTTAACCTAACTGGTATACACCTGTGAAAAGAATTGGGGGGGGATATAACAAATTAAAAGTATTTAATAACATAAACACATGTTGTAGGAATGAGGATTTCTGTAATGATAATCACTAGTCAAAATATAGAAACCGATGTTCTTATTAAAAGGCAACAATTTAAATATTATTTTAAAAAACCAAACTATTAATAAGAAAATATTTTAGAATCTGCTCTTCAAAATACATAGCATGTTAATGAGAACAAAAATTATTTCAGCATTTATTTTGTAAATTCCTTAGAAGGACTAAAAAACAGAGGCTTTCCTTCCTTTCCTTTCCATAGCTTTCCTTCTGTCAAGACAAATGATTAAATTTATATTAGCGTCAAATATTGCAGGGAATTAAACTAATTTATTATAAATTTGCTGAAATCAATCAAGCAATCAGTGCCAGCTATAACTCAAAAATTCTGGCATTCACTGAGTCTTCTAACAGTTTTTTGTTGAGTACCTATTTTTTTTTAATTTTTTACTTTGGATAAGTTTTTACTGAATACAAACATTAGTTCATTCAAAGCTCAGGTAGGGAACTTCAAAAAATTGAGGTAGATATGGGAAAGAAGGCATTCCAGTATACTTCCCTAAAGGCAAACTGGTAGGGAAATTTTTGATTAGTGAAAATTATGGGATTTCTCTCACTAGTTAAAGTGGAGATATCCTAAATAATGTAATCTCTCCCTTCTGGTTTCTGTTGGATGGCAGTGGTGAAAAAGTTCTGGCACAAAAGGGATGTCTGAGATATTTTTCATGACCTTTGCAACTGGAGAGAGGTAGAGACAAAGATTCAAGAAAAAGGCTGAGGATTTGAACCTACTGGGATTACTAACTCCAAAGGAAAACACAGACCTGTGGAAAATGGAACCCAACAGACAAAGTTGGAGTCTGGGTACCAAATCATGGAGCTAACAAAACAGAGCTAAGGGCTTCTTTCTTTGAAGATATAAAAGGCAAAAATTAGGAAGACTAGGATTGCTAATCAGGATTAGTGACAACAACTTCAAAGTATATATTTCTTAAATCTTCTTTAGGCACACATGATATGAATCAGTGTTTCTTAATGTTTCTGCATTTAATTGTTTTAATACAGAGTTAAATGATTAACTGTGAGGTACAGTGAACTAATTTCTGTCTTTGATAAACACAGGACAAGCTTTAATTGTCTGAACCATGAAGACAGAAGCAGGGTACTTGCTGATAGAAGACTCAAAGTATGGGAAACAGACAATTCTCCCTCGATGTAAATTTGCATTATGCATATTTGGCTTTACATACAGAATTCTGAGAGAAATCTGCATTCCAAAAAACCCACCTAGGTCAACTTTATAGTACTGTGGTCTCTCTGCTCCTGCCCCTCAGCTCTCTGAGGCTTTCTACCTGTACACAAAAACAAAAAACAAAAAAACCCCAAAACAAACCCTAAAAAAAAAAACTTTAAGTAAAAGCAGAAGTTAGGGAACTTGGCTTAAAATCCCTTGAGATTTTTGCTGTTCTGCTTCACTGTTCGTATGTCCAGCCCCTGCATGTCTGTCTTCTGTCCCTCTGTGCTCAGGTACCCACTGTCTGCCCCTAGCCCCAGGGTGTTCCTCCTCTTGCTCTCACTTCTCTGTGTCTGGCCCCCACGTGCCATTGAACTGTGTGCATGTCCCCTCCCTCCATGGCTGCAAGGCCTCCTGCCTGCCTCCTTTCTTCCCTCCCTCCCTTTCCTATGTCCACTGGCAAATTCACATTTATGTAAAAATTGCTTTACATAGAGGTCTGTGGGAACAGTCCAATTACATAAAGTGAGAATTGTCTGTAAAAACAAATGGCCCCTTCTAAGTGCTGAATGTGCATGTCTAAACATAAAGTGACAATAATGAGACAGCCAATAAAGTACATGACAAGCATCATCTAGTTTAGAGATGTATGCCAGAGACTTAAGACAGGGGTGTCAATTTATAAATATAATTTTTAAGTGAAATACTATAAAGCTGGGGAGTATCTGTAGTGAGGGCCATTGATGGATTTTTTTTACTATTTAAAACAATTATTTGTAGGGCATTATTTAAAAAATTGTGTAACATAATTTTTGTTAATTAGCTTGTATATCTGTTTCAAGGTCACAGATATGAAACAGATATGTCAATTACATAGTTTTTTCAACATACATAATTTAGATTAGAAGTCTATATGCTTAATCTTTATAGGCTCTGGTAATCAAGAACAAGCTGCATAAACTGCTCAAAAATTAACTATGTGACCAAGTCAAGAACTTGGCTCAGAGATGGACCAAGAGATCACCATAAACTTATATTCCTAAGAGCTGTTTTACTAAATAACAAAAAACTCTAATAGACAATAAAAGAACGGCAAGTGTATTTACCTGAGGTACACCAATTTTTCTGCAAGCCTCTAGGAAATTTTCCACATTTCTCCTGCACTTAGCCATTGTCAATTTAGGCTGCAATGAGAAAGAGAGAAGGGATATATACATCCATGCATGCACATGTTTGCATGCGCACGCAGACACACACACACATGTGTGCATGCGCACACACCTTTTTTTAGTATTTGCCTTATACAATCAAAGCCCCTGGCTAGAATTGGCTAAAACCATTCATTAGTTTTGTTTTTAAAATGTTATTGAGTCTCTCACTCTCACTCTCTCTCTCTCTCTCACACACACACACACACACACACACACACACACACACACTCTCTCTCTCTCTCTCTCTCTCAGTGCCTACTATGTGCCAGGCATTGTACTGTTGGGGATACAAAAAGAGACAAGATGGTCCCTGCCTTCAAGAAGCGTACAGGCTAATGGGGGAGTCAACATGCAAACAAATATATGGAAAGCAAGCTATATATCGGATAAACAGGAAATAATTAACAGAGGAAAGGCACTGGAATTAAGAGGGACTGGGAAGGCTTCTTGAAAAGACAGGATATATACTCACCCACAACACACACACTACATATAATAATAATACAGTAAAACAGTTCTAGCTGGGGGCTTTGTGTAACGTTAAGTACTAAAAAAGAGAATTATTAACTAAATATATATATATGCAATACATATATAAGTGTATATACACATATGCATTTACACACACATGTACGTGATTCAATAAATTTTAAAGAAAACTGATGGTTGCTACATAATAATACAATAAAACAATTCTAGCCAGGGGCTTTGATTGTGTAAGGTAAGAATTAGAAAAAGGGATTATTAACTATTAAAACTATTTGCTTCTGAGTAGGTTAAAGATTCTGGATGCTTCTTCTAAGTGGCAATAATACTTGAATTTTAAAAGCTTGCATCAGCAGTAACTACCTTTCTGAAATGTCTGATCTTTAGAAGAAATGTTACTTAATGGTAAAACTGTTTCCTTGTCTATCTATCATGCCTGACAGTTTGTACCAGTGCTTCTAATCACTATTCTAAGTTCTGGAAAAAACTTTTTGGTCTAAAGAGTTTCCATTAGGCATATCCCTCCCCTAGTCTATATGTTTTCAACTTGTCAGAGTAACTAGGATACTCACACAAGCAGTTCTTTAGTTCTAATCCTGTATGAATTTACTCAGGTCTAGGATTTAATAGTCAAGAGTCAGGTTGTCAAAGGGGATACATCTTTGGAGAAACAAGCTTACAGGTAGGTGTAGCTAATAAGGTAATAGGTTAATAAGGATTTCTTCAAAAAATGAGATTTAGTTGTCTCTTACAACTTGGTACTGTAGGTAACTGTGGAGCTGGACTACCAGCAGGTAGGGCACAAAGTTAAGCATAAAGTGTCAGTAATATTGAGAATTGAAAGTGTACACTAAAGAGTTGGAGGATCATCAATCTAGGGTTGGGAAGAGATGACCTCATCTAACCCTCTAATTTTGCAGATGTGGAAAGTGAGACCTGAAGAACCTGAGCAACTTGCCTCAAGAAACACAAATTATGATCTGAACCCAAGTCCTCTGACTCAAGAGGAAGTTCTTTTCCTGGTACTACACTGTCACTTATAGTCCTTATGAGAGCACTTGAAGGTGGGGAAGACAGTTGATTGAACTGTGGCCCTGAGCTATGCTATAAATGACCAGACTTGAATTGGTTCAAAAATTAAAAAAACCCCAAAACCCACTTTTTACATGTTCTTTTAAAAAAACAACAATAACGTAATGGACTTAGGACTCAACTCCTTCATTATAAGGACAAAGGGATTCTTTTCAGACAGAAAAAATACTATTAATATTGTGGAACATGGAAGGAAAGTAGTTTTTTCATAAGGGTTTTTTTCAGACTGAAATAAAAACCACAAATACAGCCAGGAGGAAGGCAGTTAATCAAGAACAAATATGTGTGATGTACCTCCTATGTGTCATGCACTGATACAGGTGCTGGGAATACAAATAATCTTTATTTCAGTATACTTTCTAGCTTACAGTACTAAAAGAAAATAGAAGATCCACTGGTTAGGAATTTTCTTTTGGAGAAGAGACTGACCCAGTTAAGAAGGGATAAATTTCACTCTTCTCTAGGTAATTCCTTCTGAGGGAACTGATAAGTACAGAGAGTCAATATAATGGCTACTTCCAAGGAGGAGCACATCATGCATCCTCCTTAGGAAGAGCCTGGTCTAGAAGATGGGGATACTGGTCAGAAGATGAGTATGTAGGAAAACTTCAAGAGAGATGGGAACATAATGGAAAGAAGGAGGGTTAGGGCGAGGAAAGAACCCAGCACCTATGAGGTGGTAGTGGTGGGTTAAGAGAGGAATGAAGAAAGCTGGGACCCTATCCTTTAAAGTAATGGAAAAAAAACCCCAAAAAACAAATATGAGATCAAGAGATGTGAGGACCTGTTTTAATAAAGAAGATTCCCTTCTGAGGTTTAATATGAGAACTCTGAAATTGTTAACTCTGGGCAGACAGAATTAATTTTTGATCTCCTCAAATATGTTTTGTACAAGGAGAAAGGAAAATTTCAAATGCCATGTAAAGCATGATCTAGGAACCTCGGGCATCCTTGATAAATTAATCAATCAATCAATATCAAGAGCCTACTATGTGCCAGGCACCATGCTAAGCACTGGGGAAACAAAAAGAGGCAAAAGACTGCCCTTGCCCTCAAGGAGCTCATAATCTAAGGGGGGAGACAACAGCAAACAAATATGTACAAACCAGTGATGCACAGTATAAATAGGAAATAATTAAGAGAGAGGTCACTAGAATTAAGAAGGGTTGGGAAAGGCTTGATGTATAAAAATGGAATTTAAGCTGAAAAGCCAAGGAGATAATAGTCAGAGAAGAGGAGTGAAGAGTGTTTCAGGCATGGAGGGCAGGGGTTAAGAACGGAGTGACAGTGGAAACATTTATTATAGATGACCATCTCTGAGTATGGCTGAGGTAGGGTGGAAGAGTAGCTCATGGGAGTAGAGAAGTTGAAGAACTGGGTATTTGAGGGAGAGTCAATATGTACACTGAAGTTCCCTAGTATGAGGGGAAGAGAGAAAAATTGTAATCTAGGTATCAAACTCACTGAGGAAGGAAAGGGAGACCTGGGTTCTGTAGATGACAGTTACTAGGGTTTTGATTAGGTGGGAGATATGAATGAAACATGAACCTCAAAGGAAGAGAGTGATGGAGGAAGGGGGTAAAGCTAGAAGTGGCAATGGGAAGCAAAGAGAATTCCAACTTAAAAAATGTTGAATTGAATGGTCTGAGGGAAAAAAAGAAGGGCAAAGCAAGCCTATGGGGCCAATTCATTCAGATGTACAATTCAAATGAATATAAAATGGTGATCAGGAAACAGTAAGTATGTATATACAAACTCATTACAGTAAAAACCCGGTTATAGTAATACTGTTTTATTCACAATAGACTCCAATTGTTTTTGGAAAGCCACAAGCTGCCATTTCATAAAAAAATCTCTTTTCTGAGACACATTTCAAATGTGCTAAACCCTAGCATTCCCAGAGTTAGTGTTCTCTCCTAAAATAGTAAGTTTATTGTATATATTCTTCTGTCCTGACAATTAAATTTTAAATGGTTACTACTTGTGCTACTCCCTTGCTCAAGAGCAAAATGACAAGTTAAATATTTTCATTTGCTAGACTATTCAACTAGCTGGGTAGTTATCAAAGTGCTTAATTTTTCTCGTACTCATTTTATATGCTTTAAATGATATATGGTGGTTGAAGAAAAGGAATCTTACCTCTCCTCAGCCCGAGCTTAAATTTTTCTCTAAAAATCTAGTACCATATTAGTTTGCAAGTGTTAACTTTTTGGAAAAAATAATGGTAGTTGTATGATATCTTTCAGGAAGTGATAACTTCTTAACTCAACTAAGAGAAACCGGGAAGCCTACAAAGTAGAGAATAAATTCTTCCTTCAATGGCTTCCTCCAACAATATGCTGATTCCTGTCCTCTTAATCACTCCAGAACAAAGAGTAAGATTTTTGGTCCACTGGGATTGTTGCTATGTGATGGCTTCTTTTTGTTTTCCTTCTACATACCTGGATATATTTTCTAATCTCAGCAAAAAGAGCTATCATATGTAAAATGGAAACAATATTTGCATTACCTATCTCACAGGTTTACTGTGGAGGAAGGTGTTTGGGAAAACTTAGCACATGATATAAATTTGTTACTATTATTATAGTAACAGGTGAACAAGATATGAAAATTTAAATATAACTAAAAATGTAAACATATAAAGTATCATTTAGGCTCTTAAAGAGAGCTAAGTTAATCTGTTAGTTAACCAAATACTCTCTGACCTTTATATACTTACTACAGCAGGTGAGGGAACATGAATACTGGGAACAGATCGAGGACGCACATGGTTGGCCAAATGACAAAGAACAACACCATCAGTAAGAGCTGCTCCAAGATCACAAGGCAGAGAAACTTTCAACCGGAACTCAATATTCTGGGTAAAAGAAAAGGCTACACATATTATATGATACATCACAATACGAATTATTACATGCCATACACATGTGTATGTTACATATATTCCATATATGTTAAATATATTACACATATATGTTACATATATAATATGATATATTACAAGAAAGGAAAAGACCCAAAAGGACTACAAAACACATTTCAATTGCATATTAAATCATCCAAAAATTGAGGGGAAAAAATTACTTAAGTGGTACAATGTTTATATTCTCTCTCTACTCCAGCGTGAGAATAAATTGCTGGGGTTTAAAAGTTACATTCTCTATCTTCTAGAATATATAAGGCAGCCAGACTAAAAAGAGATGGTTTTAAAGTACATTATAAAACTAATCATACTTATCTTCTGTGGAAGATCTGATCCTCTTTCAAACCCAAAGCAAAATAAATTGTCCACCACAATCTACACTCACATTATCTTAGGTAACACTCTTCCTCCTTCAGCCAAGAAGAAAGGAAAAGGACTTTGAAGTCCTATCAGATTTTAAATATCATCATTACACTCAATCATGTCCTGAAGTCTCAAAAAATCTGTTCACTTTGGTGGTGCTAATTCAGAGGCTAACAAATGATACAACAGTGGAGGATCCTAGTGAAAGAACTTATTTTCCACTTTACCATCAAGACAGAGGGGACATATGTAGAGTGTGGTACTTAATATTCTTAGTAAATGGCTCTTTGTTGGCAGGATTAATGAATGATGCCTCGATCCTTGACTTTAGTGATATCACTGAAACAGTATCACTCAAAGGTTAACAGGAGTACACACCACACCTTTCGTAGTTGATCAATTAACTCCAGCTCTTCCTCACGCTGTTTGGAATTCTGTCTTGATCTGGGATCTGCAGATTCAGTCGCTGAAGCAGCAGAAGAAAGAAGGGGTGAGGAATGACCTACCAGAAAACATGAATATAGAAGGCTGCCTCAGGTAAATGCTAAACTTTGTGTGAACATGAACACACTTGCCTTATGTAGAGAATCAAGTAGGATGACTTCTATATGTGGTTAACTTTGTGGTTAGATTTTTTAAAAAATCATGCTAATGTTTCTTCTTCAGAACAGTGAAAGAGTCTCCGTGTCCTTTTTGAGATCTGTTACACTCTGATAATTACATTTGTTTCTGATCCTCGGTTATTTCTTTTCCCTTCTGGACCCAGGCTGAAAATTGTCAGACTAACAAGTAACAGAAGGCAGGCTTCAAGTAGATTCATTTTATATTATTTCATTTTTTTCAAAAATGAAGAAACAAGATTGTATCAACACAGAACAAATGTAATAATCCCAAAGGGAATTCAGAAAAGGAAGAAAGCCAATTCCACATAACTCAAAAAGGTTGTTCTATTTCTTCATTACATCCATTTCTATAATCACTATTTCTTGTTTTACTAAATGGTTAAGATGGGAAAATAATACAACTTTTAGTGCAAATAATATTCTGTTTTATTCTTTTTTTTGAGGGATTTATTTTTTATTTCTTCATTTAATATTCATTACGTGGTACTGCAACAAGGACCAACATATCTATTAACTTGTAAGAGATTTTTTATTGGGTCCAGCATTTCAATTTTCCTCTAGTAGGTCACTCTCCACCATCAAGTTGGTTCAAGACGTCTTCCATCAATAGCTCACTAAGACCACACTAACTGAATTTTAGCATTGCAAGGGTTCTCAGACACCATCTAGTTCAATGGATAGCTAAACAAGAATCCTTTTTACAACAGCTCCAGTAACTGATCATCCAACCCTTTGCTCAACAAATCCTTTTTAAAAATAATTAATTTATTTTTAGTTTTAGTTTTCAACATTCGTTTCTATAAGATTTTGAGTTTTAAATTTTCTCTCCCTTCCTCTCCTCCCTATTCTGTTTTATTCTTGATAGGTCTTATGGCAGATAAGGATGTTTCACACTTTTGCCAAGATAATGAGGCGGCATTGCAGGGATTGAAAAGAATGGAACAAACACATTAGCTTCACTCTGCAGTACAAGGTGTCTTCACTGGTACTACCACATACCTTGATTTGTTTCATCTCTGACAGTTGCTCGGAAAAGGAAACTTTCTGGTCGCTGGAGCTGGTTTCTAAAGGTAGAAGTAGCAGGAGAATATGGAGGGGAAAGGTGTACTGAGACAGCATGGAAAAGCAAAAGAAAATTGAGAATGAAATACATGAAAATGTAATAGAAATTATAGAGCAAAAAAAAGTTTAATGAAGTAGCAATCAAAGAAGCAGCAAATTAAAATAAGAAAAACAGCATGATGATTACAGCTTTGCGCATCACAAAAAAGTGTGACCAAAGAAATGGCAAATATAGGAGGGGCTACATGCAGAGTATTTTTACTCATGCAAATATCTTATTCTCTCTGAAGGTGTCATTTGGATTGACACTGCATGAATTTATTTAAAACTCCTAGTCTGCCCACTTTTTGTTCAGAAGCTGATAACAAAAATTAGGTGAATAACCTGTTTAACTGACTATCAAAGGGCCATAATGATGCCCATTTTATTCTTTCTGAATTTCTACTTCAGATAAAGAAGATATAGCATGGAAATATTTGCCCTTTGAAAAACAATTACCAAAAAAATTCTCACTAAGTGATGGAGTAATCTAATCTGAGGCTGGTTTTTGTGCTTATTACCTGTTTGGGTTGTAGGTGAACCTGGTGAGACGGTGGGTCTGTCATCATTCTGTGGATAAATAGACAAACGTCAATAATTACTATTCAATGGGACGCAATTATTCATACGCATGGTTCCTTTGGGAATGTATAAGACAAATATGACCTTTCACTTGGGAATAAGAATCAGATGCTATGAATTATAATTTTCTTTAGAGGCTAAGGTCTTTTGGTTTGCATACAATGGACAGAAGAATATATGATCTATGGAAATAGGAAAAGTTCTGCTTCATGAGCCTTTTCCTAGCATTAAAAAAAACCGGTATCATATATGGTAGAATACTTTACAGGAAGTATACAGGGAAAGGCATTGGAACAAAAACCCATTTCACAGCAGTGCTTTTCTGGAATATCTATCAAAGTACCCAGGGCAGGGAAAAAATGTGTGCAAGTATTGCTCTAAGGCTAGTCAAGAGAAGGAAGGGACATTTTATGAATTTTAGACATGGAAAGGGACATCTGCAGGTATTAGGTATACTCTGTCTCAAGGTATAGTTTTTTGAGTGCTTCAGATTATAAAATGTTTTAGATTCTTTGATCCTAAGGAACTGTAAGCCTGTGTTGTTGATAAGCTCTGGTTTTAGAAGATAAAAGGAAATGATGAAGAGAAATTCTATTCTGGACCTGATGATTCTGACAAAAACAAAATGAAAGTGAAACCTTGGGAAAAAGCAGCTTGTAACTGATAAGGAAGAGGACTCTGCCGGACATCCTCCATAAAAGTAGCAAAAATCTTCGTGTGCATATATGTTCCTGTTTTATGTCTTAGTTCATGTAAATAATTAGAGGGTCTTCAAATAAAATTACCTGTAATGTTATAAATTTCAAGGAACATTTTAAGGTTTTAATGAATGCATGAGAGACACCTTATTGGAGCAAGTCTTTAAAGGCAGCGTTTGGTCTTCAGAATCATACTTTTTTATGATCAACAAACAATAAGCACAGTGAGATCCTGAACTTTTTTTCACCCCTCAGTCAATTGTGAGACTGACTGTAAAGATGCGATCTGCTATAGAACTCTGTTTGTGGAAGTCTGCCATTTCATTCTCCTAACTTTATTGAGAATACCCTAGATATGCTCATAAATTATTTTCATAAGGAACTTGTAGAGATGGGGAAGCTAGGTGTTACAATGGATAGAGTGCTGGGTCTGGAGTCAGGAAAACTTATCTTCCTGTGTTCAAATCTGGCCACAGACTCTTACTACCATGAGACCCTGGGCAAGTCTCTTGCCCATGTTTGCCTCAGTTTCTTCATCTGTACAATGAACTGGAGAAGGAAATGGCAAACCACTACAGTATCTTTGCCAAGAAAGCTCCCAATGGGGTAATGAAGAATCACTCATGACTGAAAAAGGAATGAACTACAACAACAAAAGAGATGGGAAAATAACCAGGATAGTTATTAATATTCTTGGTCACCTCTTTCAACATTATTGTCTGTATCTGAAGAGCTGCATATGGAAGATTAGATTTATAGAATCCACTACTTCACAGAAAGCAAAAGTTGGGTATCTCCTACTACATGTGACCTTCTTTACATCCTCCCAGGTTATTAGTACTCTCTTCTCTTGAAACGACTGTATTTACTTAATTGTTCTATACCCCCTTAGTAGAATGTAAGCTCCTTGAAGGCAGCAACTATTTTGTTTTTCTCTTTGTATCTCCAACACCTAGCATAGTACCTTGCACATATTAAGCACTTAATAAATGTTTGCTGAATTTACTTGGCCTCATAAAGCAAAACTGTAGGATGGCAAATTTTGGCTCAATATAAGAACTAATTTTATCAACTAGAGCTGTTCAAATAAGGAATAAGCTTCCTCAAGAGGTTTTCAAATGAAGGATGAATGATCTTTGTCAGGGATGCTGCAGAAGAGCTCCAAGGCTCAACTAAAGGCTTGAGATCATGTGACCTCTGAGGTCTCTTCCAATGATAGGATTTTATGATTCTAAGGTTCTGTTCTGGGGATAGAGGGACAACTAAACTGGAAAGAAGATTACTTTACTACCATAATACTTCTGTGAACTCATCAATGGGTAGAAGTTCTTCCACTAGTGTAAAACCATCTATGCTTTGATATTTGTCAATGTCTTTCTATAAATTCTCCAAAGAGGATCTGATCAACACACTGACAGAATGAGGATTAATTTATTTAAAATGCTGGTTAACTAAGGAGGAACTGGTTAAGCCTAGAGCTAGAAACAAATAATAAAAATTAGATTAAAAATGGGAAAAAAAAGGGAGGATTTCCTTTATTTTTCCAAGGCTTCATATTTTTTAACATGCCAAACATGATTTTATGAACAAACCAGGAATATAACAAGCAAAAATGGATTAAACTGCACCATAATGGATTTGAGGTAAGATTAATTCCTTGTCAATAAAGCTTGTTAACCATTAGTACGGATTATTGACAAAATCTGTAAAATTGCCTTCCCTGCAGCTCTTTAAAAATAGAATAGCACAGATTACTATTTTTCTGTAATTTAGTAGTGGTTCTGATTGGAGGTAGAGGGTAGTATAGATAATCCCTTAAGTCATTTTCTTCCTTACAGGATTAGTATTTCTGTGGAAAACTTTGGTATTGTTAGGTTTAGGGAAGTATCATAAAGTGAACTATCCTAAGATGTAAAATATGATGTTATTGATCTGATTTCATATTTTACCAAAGCAATAAAATTACTGATGACAAAAGAATCTATTTAAAGGATAATCAGATGCCATTTGAAAAACTCTACACTAATAGAACTAATGTAGCCACCAAGTATATTTGAAATATGAAAAGACTGAAAAAAGCAGCAAAGTATTAATTAGAAATTAAACAATGTAAATAAAAAAAGCTACACAAACAAAAGTAAATGTAACAAAATCATAAAGATCAAGTAGTAGTTGAAGAAAGATGGGAAGACACTCCTCTCACCTACCCCTTCATGGAGGTGGGAGCTCTACAGGGCTTGCACTTTGCACATATTTTTGAACTTTTTCAAGGTATCAATCAGTTGCGTTGACTTTCCTGCCCTCCCCCCCTTTAAAAAAATACTCTGTCATCTGGCATGGCTCTCTGACAGGAGGAAGGGGAGGGATATTTAGGATAAATAAGATGATATGAGAAACAGCAAATATCAATAAAAACTTTAAAAGAAACAAAGAGATTAAACTTAATCAGAACCAATGCATTGGCAAACTTAGGACAGATGTAAAAAACAAAAGATACATTCCCCACCCTCAGTTTCTAGTGAATTATAGTAACGAGATACCTTGAGAGGTCTGAAGGCAGAAGAATGAGGCAGGGTAGTAGCACAGCCCACTTGAGTCAACCCTGACATCGACTGAATTCCAAAAAGGCAAAGAAAGATAAAAAGAAGGCAGCATTTATGTTAGTAAAATAAGTAAGATTAGAAAAGAAGAAGTCATTTATATATTCTTATGCCTTATTAGATGTTGACAGGGCAGAAAGAGAGTATTTGTTAACAAATCAAACCAAACTCAATATAAAAGAAAAATTTCTACTGTATGTAACATAATATCTTCCTAATTTTATAACACTTCAGTATTTAATAAACCTGAAATGAGTTTCATGAAAAACATTTTACCATATGAATAGAAACACAGCCAAGAACATAATAGGTTTTAATAACACAACTGTGGAAATTTAGTCAGTGATGTATTACACCAAAATCACATGAAAGAAAAGGATTTAATCTAAAAGCTAATTTTAGCTGAATAAGTGGCACACAAAAAATTATTAAGTAAAATTCCAATTCAGAGTAAATTATATTTGAATCTAATAAAGATATGATTCTATGTGAGAAGGTAGCATAGGAATGATTCTGCAAACAAACTAGAATGATAAAACTACATATACTATTATGTGACCAGTTTTTTATGTTAAAACTAAAAGGATTTTAAAAGGCAAACAAAGAGTATGTTGTGAGCTCCAGAAATGGGGGCATATATGGGTGTACACACACACACACACACACACACACACACACACACACACACACACACACACACACACACTGAAGAAGGCATTCTGCTACATAACTTTAAAATCCTTGAACTGAAAATTGCTCATTAGTCATTGAAAAAAAAAACATTTAAAACTCACATTGTATATTATTAATTGGTAAGTATTTCTGATGGATAGGTATAGCTACAGATATTGAGTGACTGGAACTAATACATGCTCAAATTTAAGCTATAATAAGGTATATAAAAACATTTTAAAAATGTGATTTGAAATTGGAGACAGACTTTTTACAAAGAGATGATAGTGGGTGAATATTAGTCTAAATAATAAAAATTTTAAAATGATGAACTCAGATAAACTTTAATAAAAATATCTAAAACTAGGATTATACATTTCATATAGCCATCCTCAGGTATAGACCTAGAGTATTCTAAATGGGATATCTAAATGTACTCATGTCCTTTCATGCCCTCAGAGAGAGAAAAAAGTGAGACTACTGCCTCTTATTCAAAATATGTAGGTGAATCAATAAAATAAATCTATGTTTTTAATTAAAGGGACTCCATCAGCTCTATCACACTGCCAAAATAATCTGTTTCCTTCACAAAATATTAGATCATGCTCAATGTTGTTGTTGTTTTTAAATTCAGGAAATAAATGCAAAACAAAACAAAATAATGAGGTAGGGGAACAGCAAATAGGAATGAGGAAATAATGTTTAACCCACTAACAACAGTATGCACTTCACCTGTTTTGGGCATCCTAGTGCTTCTTTTATTTATAGTGGCATTACTGCCAATTGTATACACAAAGAAAGGCACAAAGCCAAAGTCAAGAATAAAAGAAGAAAAAGGAGAGGGAAGGGAAAGTGCATGGAGTCCACGTATTACATTAAGATGTTGACACAAAGTATCAGCTTGCTGGGGAGACTGATAGAGAGGATGGCTGAGTAATTATGACATCAAATGCAACAGTGGAATAATTAATTTATATTTGACATTTTTTATGAATGAGACTACTAAAGTGCTTCCTTTTGCAGGTGGAAGCCGCCATCAGGCTGAAAAGGTATTCTATACATTCAATTGGAAATACAGTCCTTGACACTGATGCTGAGAAGAGTGTGAAGTCTGTATGCCTAGCTCTAGGTTTAAAATGCCATTTGACAATCAAATGTAATTTTTCTTTAATAACTGATTCAATCAATAAATATCTGAGTTTTCGTAAGTAAGGCACCATATAAAGAATATAGCTCCTAACCTTATGGACATATATCCTTAGCTATTACATAAATATCCACCACAAAAGGTGATTTACATAAGTGGTATAGCTAAGTATTACAGAGAAACAAGTATCATTTTTAGTTGAGGTGATCAAGGAAGACATGAAGAAGGGATAGGCATTTGAGCAAGATCTTAAGGAAGAAACAGAATTTCAACAACTGGTGATAAAAGTAGGGGACATTTCTAGACAGAGAGAATGGCATGAGGAAAGATGCAGAGACAAAATTTACCAAATGATATATGGAACCCGGAGTGTAATGCGTGTTTGGGATGACGTAGTCCAGACTGACCAGAGTACAGGTTTTAAAAGAACAGTTGAGGGCTTTGTATTTATAAATCTTAGAGGGGTTATATGCTACAGCTATATGCTGGAGCTACTCATCTGCCAAACTGAACTATTTCCTATTCCTTGAATGCTGGAAAAGTAAGCAGGTAAGAAACAGATCTACTCTAGAATTTATAAATGCAGTCTTCGACAATATCACTAAAAAGCTAAGTAAAAATGTCTTTTATAGATAACTATTCTAGGACAAATAATGTAATAGCACTATGTAAATGCTACCTATTATTATTAGATGTTTATTTTACTAGCCAGAAATATAACTTTATTTGTAGCAAGAATCAGACAATGTTTCTGACAACAGGTTCTTTGCTGAGTCACCAAATGGAGTTTTACTATTTAGGTAAGTAAAAATCTACTATAGATTAATCTTTAAAAAAAAATACCTATTACATATTTTGGGTATAGACTTGTGATTTTATTAGTATAAGGAACTTCCAGTAAGGAAATGCCCTCTAACAATACAGATCCAACAGCTGCTTTGTAATGTACGGTTTTAAAGAGGTACCAGGGGCACACAGAAGTAATTACCCAGTCAAGGTCACACAGACAGTCTGTGGATTAGTTAGGCCTTCAATCCAGGTCTACCTAACACTGAGGTCAACTTTCTAGCTACTATGCAGAGAAGACTCTCATTAAAAAAAAAAAGACTTATGATTTCGATGCTACTATATTATAGGGAATTCTCAATGGCTATGTTTCATCTACCAATGACGGTCAGTACCAGCTCTAAAACATAGTGCCTGGGACACTGAGAAGTGATTTGCCCAGGGTCAAAGTATGAGAGGACTGATTGGAACCCAAGACTCTGAAAGCCTTAACTCTACCCATTATGACATGCTGTCTCTCTGTTAAAATTATTACTCTGCTCAAAACTGGTCATAGAATTCTACTGCCTATAAGAAAAAATCCAAACACCTTAATGTGATGTTCAAGATCTTACTTAATCCTTATGCTTCGGCTAAAAACCTGGCGTTTTCTTGATTCTGTGCTTTTCTTCATGCCATTTATCCAACCTGAAATGTTCTCTCCTCACTTTTACTCATCAAAATCCTTCACGACCCAACTCATATTCTATACTATTTTATGAAGATTTGTCTGCACTACTTCACAGGTCACTCTTATCACAAAAACAAAGAGTCCTTAAGTTTGAAGGCCAATTACTGGTCATTGTCTGTCTTTCAGCCTCTGCTTGAATACTTCAAGGATGAGGGATGATCAAACAAGGAATCACAGAACTTCAGATGTAAGGAAACTAAGGTCCAACCCCTTACTTTAACAGGAATCTTTTCTACAACATCCTTGAAAATGATTTACTTGATGTAAATCATTTCACTTCAGTCACTCTTTACCTTGGCAACCCATTTCACTTTTTTCACTATAATTTTAAGGAAGTTTTTCATTATATGGAGCAAAAATCAGTTTTCATTCACTGCTTCTAGTTCTTCTTGTTATGATCAAGTGACATAAGTTGATTTCTTCTAACAGTCTTTCAGATACTTGAAGACAACAACCATATCCTCACCCTAAATCTTCTTTTCTCCAAGCTGAAATATCTCCAGTTGCATCAATGCAAAAAAATTAAGAGTTTGGAAAAAGTGAGAATAAAAGAAGCAGAACTGAGGAAAAAAGAGAAACATTTTAATTCCTATAAAGTAGTACCTCCACTGAGCTACACTATTAGTTTAAAAAAGAAAGTCTATAAAATTTTCTACATTCCTAAGGTTCAGTGCCTCCATCTCTGATTAGAAACAGTGACTGCAGGTCCAGGTTCAGCATTTCCTGTGTTAAAGAGGCATGAGAACATGCTAAATAATTCAGTTATGTTTCTTCCCACAAATACATATTATTTGGTTATCACTGGGTCCTGCTTTGAAACGTAGGCTAATTTCAGTATCAGCAGGTCTGCTTTTGGGGAAAAAGATACCTTTTACTCTTATTACTGTCTTGGAAAATTATCATTACTGCTAGTAGGATAATAAAACTCCCCAAAGTGATGGTAATGTTGGCACACTTAATTTATTACAATACTTTTATTTCTCTCTGTCCCCTTAATTCAATTCAACCATCATTTATCCCAACTATATTACAAATCTCTTCTGTCTACTCAATTTACCTCACTTCACCTAACTCTTCTCACAACACTCTTCTCTAGAGGAAAACCCAACCTCAGACTATGGAGAAGATTAGCATAAGTTCCTTCATGCATCCTCATCTCTACCTCAACACATCAGTAGCTCACATCTGTTCTTTCATCCTTCCCACCAGTCTCAGAAGAAAAGGTTTCTTTTCCTTTTCAAAATCAATCTCAGTTTATTTCATCTCCTCAAGATGTTGGTCACATGATTATCTCACCCCTCGCTAGAATTTTTAACCTCTAATCTTCACGTTTCTTCTTTTCTACCTTTAAATATACTAATTAAAATACCTAGCATTTACGTAATGCTTTAAAGTTTGCAAAGCACTGTACATATGTTATCTCATTTATTAAACTAAACTTCAGTTGGAGGTTAGTGAAAATAGAGATGTAATATTTTCCCTCATCCAAGTTCAAGACACTGAAATTTATCCAATATACAATTACTGTGTTAGAGGGTGTATGGGTTGGAGGGAAGAGGTCTCCAACAAGTAAATATAATATACATACAAAATAAGTTTGGTTTTTTTTTTGGCAACTGGGGTTACGTAACTTGCCCATGGTCACACAGCTAGTAAGTGTCAAATGTTTGGTCTGAG